TGTTATAGTTTCATTAAGACCTAATTTATGTTCTAATTCATTTAATAATATACCATTTTCTTCTTTTGTGATTGTTATCAAAACTGTTGCTTGAAGTGGGAGTAACAACATGATAAGTAACAACCCCTTTTAAGTTTGTATAATTTAATTTAACAACACCTGCTTGTTGAAAAGTTAATAATTGTTTAGGATGATTTGATCTATAATTACGAATGATTTCTTTTTTCTTTTCTTTAATTTCTGCAAGATCAGTATATTTAATTGAGTTTACTTCAGGCCAATAAGCTGGAGATATAATTAATGTATTGAATGTTTTTGTTTTTTTCATTTCTGCCAATGACTTTTGAACGTCATTAAACATTACTTGAGCAGGACAATCCTCTCCAAATACATTTTTTTGAAGAAATTGGTAAATATGATTAAGTGATTGTAGTTCATCTAAACCACAATGTAATAATTTTGATGCTAAAATATTTTCATACTCAATTAATATTTGTTCACCATAATGTTGTGCAATTGTTTTAAGTATTTGAATTGGGATTTTACCGATATATTCAGAAGGTAAAGGGATAAAAGAAGGAGAAGAAGATGAGACTAAATCCCAATGTTCTGAATGAAAACAATTATCAGGAATATTTTCTTGCTGTAAAAATTGAAGAAAATCAGAGAGTAAAACAATATGAATTGATTGAAATGCAATTTCAAAACACATTTTACAAAGTTGAAGACTACCATCAATAATACAAAGATTTTTCATAGAATTCATTAAAGATATAAGAAAGATTTTACTATTAGTGTTCTTATCATATTTAAAGACTTCGATTATTTTAGAAATACAGTAATTTGCTAATAATTTATTTGAATGACAAATTTCTTGAAAATCAACAAATTGAGGAATTAATGAAGTAGAAATAATTAACTGAGGTAGTTGAGGAATATATTTTTTTAAATATAATAAAGCAATTTGTTGATTAAAATTAGGAGAATAAAAAGGAATTAAAAGTTGAGTAATAATATTTAATTGATGAAGAGAATCTACTTGATTTAAATAATATTGTATTATTTCATGAAGTAAATCACTAGTAATATCTGATACAATTGAATTAAAAGGAAATGTTCTAATTAATCTTAAAGTAGAAATTAATATATCAGGAATTCCTTGGCCTGAATTTGAAGTTAATAAAGATAGTGTTTGTTTTAGTAACAAAGGAAATATATCAAATAATTTATTATATAAAAGTGCTTGTTCATGGACTGTTTCAAAATGTCTTTGATTTACTTGAAAACATATTTGATGAAATAGTGAAAAGAAATTAAGAGTATCAGCAATGAGACATTGATTAATAAGTGAATCTAAACTTGTCTGAGTCTCCATTACAAATTCTAATTTAAGTTCTTTTATTTTTTAATAAATAACAAATTTATTTTTAATAAGATAATTTTTGTTTTATTTTATTTTTCTTTTTAATCTGAAAAATTGAAACTAAGAAATTTTGATGGATTATTTCATTAATATTCAACTTCCTGAAATTTCAATTTCTGAAGGGATTTATTCAGTAGAACTAAAAAGAGAATATTTAGAAAAATTAATGAAGGCAAAATTATCAAGTTGTGATTTATTACAGCGATTTGGAGTGTTAGAAAATGAAATTAATGAAGAAATAGAATTAATTTTAAATAGAGTAAAAATAGGAAATGAACACTTCCAATTTTCAAAACAAGAAGAACTTAGAATTGCATATGGAGTTTATCAAAATACTTTACTTGAGTTATTAAAATTTAAAAAAGAAATAATTGAATATCATTCAAGTATTATTGAAAAATTTATTGAAAATAATAATTCAATAAACAACAAAGTGTCAAGTGGAACTATTATTAATAACATCGATTTTTATTGTTTAATGCCATCTACTTATATTTCATATTTAACATCAAACACCGATGAAATTGAAAGTAAATTAAATCAATTAATTAAAAAAAAAGACCAAGAAAAATTAAATTATGAAACTCTTTTTACTTCAACTTTTGGATATTCAACTGAAAAAGAATTAAAAGATATTATTAAAGAACTGAAAATTATTGATAAAGAAACTTATATTGAAATTCAAAATAATGAAGAATTACAAAAAAGATTTAACAAAATTATATTTAATTTAAATAATAATATTGGTATTCAAATTTATACTTATATTGAAAGTATTAAATTATTTAAAAATAATCAAATTCAATTAATTTCAAAATTAAAAAATATTCAAATAGAAATAATAAAATCTTTATTAAATAGTTATAATATTGATCAGTCTTATTCTGATTTATTACTTATTTTATTTCATAGAGCGTTGTGCTCTTGTTTAGGTTCATTTATTTCATCTATTCCTATTCAAATTTTACCATTATCGAATCAAGAATTTATTCAAAAACAACAACAACTTTTAAATGATAATTCAATACACTCATTCCCTAATTTCCATAAATTTATTTTAAATACTAAATTAAATGAATTTATTCATTCTATTGATTTTACTCAATTAACTATTCCTTATGACTTCATTCTTTCTTTAAATTCTCTTTTTGATGAATTAATAAAAATTTGTAATATTGATATTTCTGGAGATACTATTATTCCAGTTATTGTTTATCTCCTCTTACATTCTTCTATTCCAAATATCAATTTATTAATTTGTTTTATTGATCTTTTTACTCCTCCTTCTCTAATTAAAGGTAAATTATCATATACAACTACAACGTTTAAAGCTGCATTGAATTTAATTATTCAACAATCATAACCTTAAATAAATTAAAACATTTAATTATTTCATTATTTCTTTTTTTTGTTTTTTTTTATTTACAATTTATGATAAACCGTTGATTTCCACTCTTATCATATTGTTGAAGAATAATAGAAGTATCATCAGAATAGTTACCTTCTTCAACTGTCATACATAACATTGGATATTTAACACTCCAAATAATACATCCATTTTTATTACTTTCATAAATTTTCCATAGTTGTTCAGCTTGTTTTCTTTGTGGTGATTGAATCACTTCAATTCTTTCAGGATCATCTTCTGAAGATGCACTTAATGCCAAACGACTTTTCTTATTGATGAGATATCCGTCTTGATAATAAAATAATTGACTAGTACTTCCATTATTGTCAAATATAACAAGGGGTGCTCTACGATATTCTCCACCACCACAAATGTCTAGAGCAAAATTACTAAAATTCTTTGGACAAAACTGGTATTTTAATTGTTTGCCATTCATTTTTAAATAGATGAAATAAATTTCTAAGATTTACAAGAAAAGGATATTAAAGACATTTCAAATAATTACTTTCTTGAAAACCCTATTATTATCATTATTTCATTTAGAAGTAAAACGATTTTTATTAATTATTTAAGAAACAAAAATTATCAAAAAAAAGTTAACTCAATTAGTGAACTTTAGAAATGATTTGGATAAGATCAACAAGTCTGTTAGAATATCCCCATTCATTATCATACCATGAAACTAATTTAACAAAGTGTGGGTTCAAAAGAATAGTAGCAGCTGCATCGAAAATTGATGATCTATTGTCATGGACAAAATCTGATGAAACAACAAGGTCTTCAGTATATCCAAGAATTCCTTTCATTTCTCCTTCTGATGCTTTCTTAATGGCAGCTTTAATTGATTCAACAGTTACTTCTTTTTCGAGTCTGCATGTTAAATCAACACATGAAACATCTGGTGTTCCAACTCTGAATGACATACCAGTAAGTTTGCCATTAAGAGATGGAATAACTTTTCCAACAGCCTTGGCTGCTCCAGTGCTAGCTGGAATAATGTTAGCACATGCACATCTACCTGCTCTCCAATCTTTTCCTGATGGTCCATCAACTGTCTTTTGAGTAGCAGTAGTAGCATGAATAGTTGTCATAAGACCTTCAACAATTCCAAATTCATTATTAATAACTTTAGCAAGTGGTGCAAGACAGTTAGTTGTGCATGATGCATTTGAAATAATGTTCATTTCTGGTTTGTATGCTTCAGTGTTAACTCCAACAACAAACATTGGAGCATCAGCAGATGGGGCTGAAATAATGACTTTCTTAGCTCCTCCCTTAATATGTGCTTCAGCCTTTGGAATAGTAGTGAAAACTCCAGTTGATTCAACAACATAATCAACTCCAAGTTCTCCCCATCCAATTTGAGCTGGGTCTCTTTCAGCTTTAACAACAATCTTATGTCCATTAACAATAATAGCATTTTCACCTGCTTCAACAGTTCCTTCGAATTGTCTATGGACGGTATCATATTTTAATAAGTAAACCATGTATTTTGGATCCATGAATGGATCGTTGATAGCAACTAATTCAAAATCTTTTCTTTCAAGAACGACTCTAGCAACAAGTCTTCCAATTCTTCCAAAACCATTAATACCGACCTTAATTGACATTTTCTAACTTAATGTTTTTTACTAGTTTTGTCTTTCTTTTTATTAGTTTGCCACGTGTGATATACTTATGACTCGTCATTATAGGTTTCTCTTTTTTTTTAGATTCTTCTTATTTTTTCATTTCTATTTCAACAAATCAACTCCAAAATAGCTTTTTTACAATTTGTTCGTTGTTACATAAATATTCTTTTTTTAATGAAAATGGAATAAAAAAAAATAAAAAATCAAAATTATTATTCTTCTTTTAAAGATTGTGAAATTGTTTTTTGTTCTTCAACATATTCAACGATAAAATCTTTCATTTGTAAAATTGGATGAATAAATGAAGAAATAAAAGACTTTTTCATGTCTTCATCAATAGCAATAAGAACAGCAAATGAGTGTTGAACGTTAGCAATTAACACAATTATGTGCCATATTGTATGGTTAAAATACTATAAATTAAATCTTTCGTTCCTTAAGGAATCATAAAATAACAAACTAATTTGTCCCATAAAAAGAATATTGTCCCCAAATAATAAGTAACCCCTCCAGTTAATAACCAAAGTAATAATGATATTGGACAGAAATAAAACCACCCTGGAGCAACTAACAAACATGAAAATCCCATTGACAAATACAAAATTACACCTATACCTGATGATGGAGTAACAAAAACAGTGATTATTAACCCTGTAATTGCTATCATACCTATTAAAAATAATGCTATTACTCCAATCTTAAAATACTTTTTATCGAATAATCGAGATAATATAAAACTAACATAACATCCTAATATCATTATATAAATTGTCATATGATCAAGTCTTTGGAATATGTATCTTACTACAATCATTTGTGGAGTTATCAAGTTAAAAAGATGATATATTGTACTATTACTATATAAAGTTAAACTACTAATACAAAAAGAAATAACTGATGCTTTTTTAATTTCGCCTAATTGTTTTTTCATACATAACCTCCACATAGATTTCAATTGAAATAATGAAAATATAATCCCAATAATATGTGTAAGACAATTAAAACACTCTTCAATTGAAGTTTGTTTTCTTTCATCCTCTGGATGTAATTGTTTATAATAAAATTGAAAGTCACATAAAATGCACATAAACTAAAATAATAAAATAAATTTGTTGATGTTTTTATAGGGTTTTACCTAATAACATCAATAACTCATCAACTAACTGTCACTTCATTATATATCTCTAGATTTTTTAATCAAATCTTCTCTCTCTTTTTAAATATAACTTTTTTGAACAAAAAATTCTCAAAAAATCTTTTTTTCTTCTTCACGTTGTTAAATAACAAATTCGTATTACTTACATACGATTTTAGTTATACACCTAAAATTAGTAATTTTTACAGTTATCAAATTCATCACCGTAATGTTAATTTTAGCGAAATATTAATACCACACTGTTTTAATTAAGTTATTTTAATGAGATTACGTTCTGATTCTTTTTATTATTTACATTATTCTATTATTTAATTACAATAAAGTAATTCAATTGTGTCAAATAATCATTTTATCTTATAAAATAGTTCAATTCAACCAATATTCTAAGAAAATAAGTTATAAAGTATTCAAGAATATTTTTCTTTTGAAAATCAGATGAATAAAACATTTCCAATGAATAAAGCTCTTTGTGAGTGAAGGTATAAGTTTAAGAAAAAGAGGTAATAAAAAAATAAAACAATTCAATATACTGTATGAAAATATTTATAATCATACTTTAAGAAAAAAAATAAAAAAGAAAATAATGAGAGTTCAATGAAGGTAAATTAATACCATAATTAGCCTGAAAGTGCAAGAACTAAATTAACGAACTTATCGAATTCAGCATTGTCAATTTCTTCTCTCTTCATATTAAAGGTCTTTTGATAAATACTTCTGCATTGTCCAAGATAAGCAGCAGCACTAATGAATTGGCTCTTTGAAACCTTCTTAGATCCTAATGATGAACCGTTCATTTTCAATAAAACATCAATTGATCTCTTGTTACAATTGAATCCAAGCATTGGAAGAGCTTGGACTAATTCATTGGCATCAAGATTTCCACTTTTGTCAGCATCAAAGTGTTTAAATGTTTCATTGCAAAGGTTCATGAAATTCCATAAAGCAAGGAATTCAAAGAATCCAATTGATCCAGACAAATCAATATCAAAGATTCTCATTAATCTCTTAATTGTCTTATCATCAACTTTAATTCCTCCTGGGAATTTAGCTTTCTTTAATTCACCAATTTCAAGAGTTCCAGATTTATCTTTATCGACGCTCATAAACCATGATTGAAGGTTTTGTAAATCTTTAGCATCTAATCTTTCAACTAATGGGAACCACCATTGGACTTTGAGATTTGGATCAGAGTTAACAGCAGCTTGAATCATTTGGGTGACAAAAGCATCAGCAGCAGCTTGGATAGCAAACAAAGACATTGAGAATTTGATTTTCAAGTTCGGAACATTTCAATTTTAGTATCTACGATTTATTGTTCTCAGGAAAACTTCTAATTTTAATTTAGTATAAATTGTACAAAAAAATCGGGAATTGAATAAAAACTCTTTATTGTCTCATATTAGAATCTTCTAATGGTGTAAAACTATTATTCTCGAAAGAAAAAAATGACGAACTTAGAGGTTTACGTTACTAGTTCTGTGTTTTTTAAGTTTTCATCTCATTAATTTTATTCAATTCTTAATGTCTTTGTTTGCTATTCAAGCTGCTGCTGATGCCTGGGTTGCTCAACATATTACTGCTGCATATCAAGCTGATCCATTAATCCAAAGAGAATGGTGGTATCCACTTGCTACCTCAATTTCAGGAACTGAATTCAAAGAACTTCAAGATTTCTTTGTTAAAACTGATAAAGATAAATCAGGATCACTTGAACTTGGTGAATTAAAGAAAGCTAAATTCCCAGGAGGAATTAAATTAGATGAAGATGCATGCAGACACTTAATGAGAATTTTTGATGTTGATTTGTCTGGATCAATTGGATTCTATGAATATCTTGCATTAATGAAATATGTCAAATTAACTACTGCAGTTTTCAAGAAATTTGATAAAGATAAGAGTGGAAATCTTGATGAACAAGAAATTTATGCTGCACTTCCAGAACTTGGATTTGATCTTAATATGAAAGCATGCAAGATTTTAATTCAATTATGTGGAAAGGGTCTTCTCACTAAGAAGATTCAAATCTCACAATTCATTGGTTGTGCTGCTTATCTTGGACAAATTAGAACCATTTATCAACATGGTTTTAAACAAGCTCAAGGTGATTTCAATAGAGCTAATTTCTCTAAGTTCATGAACTTGACAATGATGTTGATGGATGATGCTTAAATTTAATTACATCATAATTCAGTCTCGTGAAGTCATTGTTTTTATTCTTTTTTATTGATTTTCAATCTATTAATAACAACTTTGTTTTAATCATCATAAAATTCTATTTTCATTAAATTATTCATTCTTCTTTATTCTACTCATTAGATTCTAATTGTATTGTTCATTAAATCAACAACAATCATAGATAATAATAGTATTGGTAATGCTATTTTTTTATCAATTGATCTCTATTTGAAAAGGGGGTAGTTTAACAGTACATAAAACTTAACTTTATAATAACATAATATTTTATTCAAAATGGTAGTTAGAAATACTGGAGTATAAAACAGACAACATTTTCATTATTCAAAATACTTTGTATTTAATCAAATTTCATCAATTAGATAATATTTAAAGAAAAAAGTGAATAATATAATTATAAAAAATGATTGTAATTTATGTTTAGTAGAATAAAAAAAAGAAATAAATGGATCTTTAGCATAACGGCATTGCAAAAATTCATTTTTCTCCGGAATTTTGGTTGTTGGTTCGACTCCAACAAGGTCCAACTTTTTTTTTTTAATTTAAATAATAACAAAAAATATTTTTAAAAATTGTTATATATTATAACAAAATTTTAATTTATTTTTTTTATAAGAAAATTAAGAAAACAAAAGAATTATTAAAAGAAAGTTAAATTAGAAATCAATTATGCCTTCTTTTAGTGTTAATAACACTTCTTTATTAAAATTAGAAGTGACAAACAACACAAGAAATATTATCTTCAGACCCAAGAATATATGCCATATCTCTTATATAACCTGCAATTTCAGACATTCTTTTAGTTCCTTCTTTCTTTCTACAAATATCAGCTACTTTACTATTAGACAATACATCCCATACACCATCACATCCTAAAACAATACACATATCAGTATCTTTTCTTCTAACATATCTGTTTACATGAGGTTCAGATGATACAAAAGGTTGGAATCTTACATCACCAATAGATCTTGTAATTGCTAAAACACCATTAACTCTTCCTTTAGTAATATATCCACCAACATCAACAACTCTTTGAATTTCATGTTCATTATAAGCTTTATCATCTTCAGTTAATTGTTCATAATCTTGTTTTCTAACAACAATAGCACGTGAATCTCCTACATGTGCAGTATAATATTCATTTGGTGTTACTAATAGTACACATGCAGTAGTTCCATCATTAAATTCTTTTTTATTAACTTCATTTGATAATTCATTAAAAGTTTCAATAAGAGCAGCATCAATTCCTAAATTATTTTCAGTCATTAAATGTTTTTTTAAAATACGTGCAAAATGACATGCAACAAAATTACTACTTTCTGCACCTCCATGTCCATCAAATAATCCAACTAAATGAACACCACCAGCAGTAAAATTTTCAATAATAATTAATGCATCTTCCATTTGATCTCTATTTCCACACATTTCTGAACTTCCAACACTAAATGTATCATTAGAAATAGCAACAGAATTAAATCTCATTGAATTTGGTTTTCCTAATGAAAAATGTTCAAGTGGTGTTTGAGATGTAAAGATTACAGGACCAGTAATTGGTGTTTTTAAAGATGAAGAGAATTTATTTAATTTAACTTTATCATTCATAGTACAATGGAAATTAGTTAAACGAGTTAATGAAGAAGTAAAGAACATTGGGAAATTTTCTGTATTTGAATAATCTCCATTATATGATAAATCTAATGATCTTAAAGAAGTCATTCCACATAAATCTGAAGGACATTTTTCAATTTGATTAGTTGAAAGATCAAGATCTTTTATTCCAACTAAATTAACAATTGGTGTAATTTCTTTAATATAATTACAACTTAATTCAAGAATTTCTAAATTAGTTAATAATGAAAATTTTTCTGGTAATTCTGGAATTTGATTACAATTTAAGAATAATTCTACTAATTTAGTCATAGAGAATAATGATTCAGGAATTTTTGATAATTTATTATGTTCAAGATGTAATGTTGTAAGATTAGTTAATTCACTCATAGTTTCTGGTAATCTATCAATAATATTAATTCCTAATAATAATGCTTCTAATTTAGCAAAACAATTATATGAAATATCTGGTAATGAATCTAAATAATTATTTGACATATTTAATACTACTAAATTAGTACATGTTGTAATAGACATTGGAAATGCATTAAATGAATTAGAAGATAAATCTAATGCTGTTAATGAACTTCCAGTAAACATTTCTAATGGAATACTTCCAAGCATATTTTTTTGAAGAATTAATGTTTTAATTTCTCTTAAACATTTAATATTAGGAAAATCTTTTAATCTATTTTGTCCAAGATTTAATTTATGAATTGAATATTCCATATCTGGTAAATCAAGTTCAATAATTTGATTACAACTTAAATCTATATCTCCTGAACATGGTAATTCTGTAACTTTTTCAAATTCTCCATTAGATAAATTAAGTTCTGAAACTTTAGTAAATTTTTGAAGACCAGCTGGTGGTACTTTAACTGATGTATGTTGTAATGTTAATTTACGAAGTCCAACAAGTGACATAAATGATTTAGGTAATGTTTTTAATGGTGAATAAGAAATATCAATTTCTTTAATTGTAGTTAAATTTTGAATTTGATCATTAATTTCATTAATTGGGTTAGCACTAACATCTAATACAGATAATTTTGTTAATTTACATAATGATGGTGTAATTTTATCTATCTTATTATTAGAAATATCAAGAATTTGTAAATTACTCATTTTAGACATACCATTTGGAATTGTTGTAATTTTATTTTCTTTTACTTTCAATACAATTAATGATGAAAGTTCTAATAAAGGTGTTGGGAATGATGTTAATAAATTATTAGAAATATCAATAAATGTAAGACTAGTTAATTTAGATAAATGTTTTGGTACACTTTGAATTCGGTTAATTGATAAATCCATAAATCTTAAAGCATGTAAAGAACCAAAATCATCATCAATTTTAGTTATTTGATTAATAGATAAATTAATTTCTGTAAGTGACGTTAATTTAATTGACTTACAAAATCTTTTTAAATGATTACTTGATAAATCTAAAGTTTTAAGACTAGGAATATTTATTTGACTTGGAAGTGTTTTAATCATATTATCATTTCCTCGAAATTTTTGTAATTTTGCTATTGAATTAATTTGTGATGGTATTTCTTGAATACGATTCATTGATACATCTATTAAAACAACTGTCTTTATTTCTTTCTTTACTTCTTCTTGTGGAAATTCTGTTAAATTCTTCGCATGTTTAACAATCTTCGTTTCAGTTTTCTCAGCCATTCCTTTGGAACTGATTTTTAAGTTTTTTTCTTCTTCTTTTTGTTTTGGTTTAAAAAATAGTTCTTTTTCTATTAAAAACTGTTTTGTTGGTTCAATATAAAACAATTCGGTTGTTAAAAAAAACTTAAAATAGTTCAAATGAAAAATAATCCACTTCGATTATCTGATTTGATGAAGAAAGTGATAGAAGGTGAAATGACTGACAAACAATTTGAAACAATTTTCAGAAAAAAGATGGACTCTACAAATAATACTGTTATAGTTAGTGATTTATTGTTATTCAGTCAAAACGAAAAAGATGAGAGGATTGAAAGCAAGACAAAGTGAGAAATTAATATTGAAAATAAGATTGTGATTGAATCTAAGTAACGCTATATGACCTTATTGTCTCCTAAAGCTTTAAGTACAACTGAATATAATAAATTATGGAAATTTATTGATTCTAACTTGGTCTTGTTATTTTCTTCTGAACCTACAAAAATATCTGAAATGGAACTATATCACTTTGTTTATGTTATCTCAATTGCACCAGGAGAATTATGGAAAACATTATATTCTAATCTCATTCTATTTCTTAATCATTTTTGTGAATCTCTTTGTTGTAAAATGACAGTAAAACCAATTACAAACTTATATATTCAAGAATATTTAAAATATGAATGTGCCTTAAAGAAAATGGAAAAAATTTGTAAATATCTTACAACATATTATCTCCATGAATCAATTATTGATTCAGGTAAACGTGTCTGGAAGGAATTAGTTTTTAAACCAAATATTTTTGAAATTATTAATGAATGCCTCTGTTATTTAAATGAAATTCGTCAATCAAAAATGGATCCATCATTTTTACTTACATTTAAAGACTGTTTATTATCTCTTGGTGCAACATCTCAAGCGTCTAGAGAAAATTATGAAATATTTGAAGATGAATATATTAAAGATTTTGAGTTACATTCTAGTTCTCTTCTAAAATATTGTCAAAGAGACTTTTTAGAACATGTAACCATTATGGAAAAAATAGAAGAAGAACGTGTATGGGTTTCACTAGAGAATACAACAAAAGCAAGAGCAAAAAAGATATTAAATGATATATGGTTAGAAAAAAGTAATTGTGTTAGTCAGTTATTATTACAAGGATTAGATAAAGAAAATGATCTTGTAGAAATGATTTTTAATGGATGTAAACGAGCTATTGACACTTCCCTCCTGGAAAAATTAAGAGGAGTTTATGCTAAATGGATTTTATCAATAGCTTATAAAAAACTTGATAATTTTTCTGGTGATAGAAATGGTTGGATAGAAAATTTGGTTAGTGTTTTAAGATGTATTAATAAATCACTTGATCTCTTTCATAACGATTTATCTTTTATTCAGACTGCTCAAATCACTATGAAAAATATTATGTCTTCAGTTCCTCATAAAAATACACCAAATAATGCAATGTACATTGCCCTTTATTTACATGATTTATTACGAAAACACCACTCCCATTCTCTTTGTTTACCATCAACATTAAACTGTAGTGCAATAGAAGTACTTGACTTAAGTAATTATCTACAAGACAAAGATGTATTTGAAGAATGGTATTTAAAATTATTAGCAAAACGATTACTTAATAAAGAAGCTACAAACACAAGTATGGAAGAAAACATAGTTAACAGGTTAAGAGAAATGAGTGGTGTGTCATACGCAACTAAACTAGGAAGAATGTTCTCAGATATTGCTTCAAGCATATCTCTAACAAATGACTTTAATAATTCTATCAGATCAACTATTCTTGATGTGAGCATAGGTACTGGAGGAACGTGGCCTTTAAAACCAAATGAAAGCATAGAATTACCACCTCCAATGAATGATTTACTTAATTCTTTTGAATTTTTTTATAAGAGGAAATATGAATCAAGGAAACTTCAGTGGGTAATGAATATGTCTACTACTCAAATAGAATGGAAATATAATGGCGATTCAAAGAAAGTAGTTCTTCCAACATTAGCTGTTGCATTAATTATTAGTAAAAGTAACGGTTTTCAAATGAAAAATGAAGGAGAAGTTTATACCATATACCAAGCACTAATTAAAAGCGAAATCTTTGATTCAAATGGTAATATTACAAGTAGTTTTCTTCAAGGCTATCATAAAAAATTAGGAATGGCTGAACAAAAAACCAATGAAAAGATCAAAGAAGATCGTAGTGCTTGGGGAGAGGCTGTATGTGTTCGGTTAATGAAAAAAATGAAAAAGTGTAGAGAATTAGATTTGATTAATATGGTGATTAAAGAAAAAGCACCATTTATTCCAACAGAACAATTTGTCCAAAGTGTAATTGAGAAGCTCATTGAGAAAGAATATCTTGAAAGGGATAAAATAAAAGGAATGTTAAATTATCTCTATTAAATTAACTGTTTTTTTTATTTTGTTTAATAAAAAAGTCTCAGTCAAATCAAAGATTTTTAACATCAATTATATCAGATGTCCCTATCTTTCAATTCCTCACCGACAATAATTTTATTCTTTCTTCTTTATTTATCTTTAAAAAAAAAGAAATACTATATTGTGGTAATAAATAACTTAACTAAATTAAATAATTTTGTAATATAAAATAATTAATAAAATATTTTGTTATTGAATAACAAAAAAGAAAAAATAAATGAAAAAAAAATAGTAATAAAATTATAATTAATAAGAATTGTTTTTAAAAGAAACCCTTAGGAAAAACAAAGGAACTTAAATTTGACAGGAGAAACTCATGGTCAGAGTTAACGTTCTTGCTGATGCTCTTAAATCAATTACCAATGCTGAAAAACAAGGTAAAAGACAAGTTATGATCAGACCAGCTTCAAAAGTTATTTGTGAATTTTTGAACGTTATGATGAAACATCAATACATTACTGACTACACTGTCGTTGATACCCACAGAAGTGGAAAGATTGTTGTTAACTTGAACGGAAGACTCAATAAATGTGCTGTTATTTCACCAAGATTCAATGTTACTCTTAGTGAATTTGATAAATGGGAAGCTAACTTACTTCCATCAAGACACTTTGGAGCGCTTGTTTTGACCACATCATATGGTATTCTTGACAATACTGAAGCTAGAGCTAAACATACTGGAGGAAGAATTCTTGGATTTTTCTACTAAATGATTTTCTCGTAAAGAATTTTTAATAAATTTTTTTGTTTTAATTTAAAAGAAAAGAAACTATGAAAGAATCAGATAGGAAAAGATGAATGAGGTAGTATCATTAGGACTTGCTAGAATTAAAAAAAGTGCAGTTGAATTAATTGACGAAGAAATTGTTGGAAGAGAAGAACAAAAAAGAGGAATCGAAAGTAATATTGAAGTGTTTATTCAAAATCCATGCACTAGAATACTTTTTATTAATGGTACACCAGGAACAGGAAAAACAATGATGGTTCAATATTTACTTAAAAAACACCAAAATGAAATTATAACATTTTTTTTTAATGCGATTAAAGAAAAGAGTATTAATAATATATGTCGTAAAGTTGGAGGATTAAAGAAAAG